AATTTCATTTTCATTTTATTTAATAAATGAAATATAAATAATAAATGAATGAATAATAATTTAATATATGAAATAATAAAAAGAAAAGATAACATAATAAAGAAATATGATGTATTTAATATATAATATAATTTATTATCAAATATATTAATAATATCAAATGATGATTTATTTTTATTTCAAAATATTTTGCATCAATAAAAATGTTGCTAAATATTTTGCATCAATAAAAATGTTGCTAAATATTTTGCATCATTAAATTTTGCATCATTAAATTTTGCACTTTTTTTATTTGTTTCAATAAAATTTGCATCCTTTATTTTTTTCTTTCTTTTCTTCTTTTATCATCTCTTTTGTTTTATTACACTTTATCTTCTTTCTTTTTATATTCTCTCCTTTCTACTTTTATTCTTTCTTCATCATATTCTACTTCTTACTTTCTTTTTATTCTTTTATATCATTCATTCTCTTCTTTTTCAATTATTTGCTTTTTTTCGTTGCCCAGATTAAGTATTATTCATTTCAACAATAAATAAATAAAGTTAAATATCATCAATTAGAAGAAAATAAATGTAAAGATAACATAGAGAATAAGAGAGATGCAAGATACACCATTAAGATTATGATTATTCAAATCATCATTTGTTTTATTCACATTATTATTTTCTGTTCCATTTGTTGTTTCACTTGTATTTGGTAAATGTGGTGATACTGTTTCATTTTGTTGTTTGTTTTGTTGATTATTTGATGGTGATTCAGGTTGTTGGTTATTTGGTTGTACTGGATTTGAATCTGGTGAGTCGTCTGATTTTACTGGTGTATTTGGTGTTGGATTAGTTGTTTCTGATGGTGTTGGTTTACCTTGTTGACCATCTGTTTGTGCTGGTGTTTGTCCTGTTGATGGTGGTTTATCAGATGGTATTGTTTGTCCAGGGGTTGTACTTGGATTTGTACCTGATGGTTGTGTGTCTTGAGGTGTTGGTAATGGTAATGAGTCTTGAGACTTATCTTGGTTTGAAGAGGATGGTGTTTGTGAACCAGCTGATGGTTTTTGTTCTGCTCCAGATGTCGTGGTTGAAGATTGTCCTGATACTGTGTCTTTTGAAGGTGGTTGTTGAGGTTCTGTGCTTGTAGGTGGTTTTGTTGTTGGTGATTCTTTTGTTGGTGCAGGTGGTGCAACACCTGTTCCTGTTGTTCCTGGATGTGTTTCTGTACTTGAAGTACCAGCTGTTTGTGTGTCTATTCCTTTAGGTGTTGCTGGTACTGTTTCTGTTCCTTCTTTAGTTGTTCCTGAAGATGCAACTCCTTGTGCTGTTTCTTTTGACTTTTCCTGTGGTGCTGCTGGAGATGCTCCTGCCTGTGTCTGTTCTGAATGTTCTGTCCCTGTTGGTACACCAGACTGTGGTAATACTTGTGCTGGTGATTCTTCTCCTTCATGCGACAAGTTATTTGGGGGTAATGAACCAGCTTGAGATTGTGGTGAATCTGTGGATGATGATACTGTTTTTGCTGGTTCACCTGAAGGTGGTGAAATGGTACTTCCAGGTACTGATGAAGGTACAGCTTGTTCTGCTGACCCTTCTGTCCTGAAACTGATTTCGGAGATACATCATTGTGTGATTCATTTGATGCAGCAATTGATTGTGGTTGTTCTTGTTTAGAACCTGCTGGTCCCGATGCTCCTTGCTCTTCGTGTTGTACTGTTGGTACTACTGGTTGAGAATGTAATTCTTTCCCTATTTGTGTTTCTGTTTCACTCTTTAAAAGTGTATTAATCTCTGTTGCACTACTAAATACAATAATCAAGAGAAATAAAATCATTGAATGTATTAGATTTTAGTTTTGTTCTTTAAATATAACTACTTCTTCATTTCTTGTTTTTTCCTTTCATCTTTGATTTTTGTCTTATTGATTTTTCTCATCATTTTTGTGTTGTTATTATTGGATTTATCTTCTTCATTTGTTGATGAAATGATAAAATGTTGTAATTATTTTGATTGTTTTATTGATTTTCTATTCTATTTTCTTTCATTGTGTGTTGAACAAAAAATGGTAATGAGTAGAATCATTATTTGAATTTCTAGTTATTTTTATGGTTTTATATTTCAATTATATTTTATTGTTTATTCTTCTTTATTTTATTATTCTTTTACCATTTCTTGTTTGTTATTTTATAATTATTTCATTTTCATTTATTATTGAGATGTTATTACTTGTTTATCATTTCTTATTAATTATTATCATTTGTTGATTTTATTATTATATCATTTTCTTTAAATATAATTTGTTAACAATTCAGTGTTATTTGTTATTTTCATTATATTTCATATGTGATTGTATAATTATTGTGTTAAACTATTTTATATTATCATTCATTTGATTTATTCAAATGATATTTTTAATTATTATCATCTTATTCATTCCTATTTTATCTATTGATTATTTCATTTTTCTATTTCATTTCTATTTTATTTTGATTTTATTTATTTGATTGTAACGGCAACGAAAAAAGCAAATAATAGAAAAAGAAGAGAAAGATATAAAAGAATAAAAAGAAAGTAAGAAGTAGATGAAGAAAGAAGAAAAATACAATTATGAAGTTAAGAATATAAGAAGAAAGAAGATAAAGAGTAATAAATCAAAAGAGATGATAAAAATCAAAAGAAGGAAGAAATAAAAAGTGTATTTTTAATGTAAAAAATTAGAAATATTCAATAAAAGTGTGACTAATTCAATTGTGTAAAATAATTGCATTGTTTTATTAATGAAAAATATTTTATTCTTTTTTATGTTATTATTTGTGTGTATAATTTCATCATGATGTTTATTATATATTCAATAATATGTGTTATGTTATTATAACATATAATATGTAATAAAATATAAATGAATATATGATATAGAATATATGATATAGAATATAAAAACAAAAGAATAATAAGAATAAATGGTAAATAAAAAGAAAAATAATAATAAATGATATAATAATTAATAAAAATTAGTTAATTAAGTATTAATAGATTTTTCATATATTCTTCCTAGTTTATTGGAGATTAATCCCAGTGCTGTTTAAAAAAGAGTAATCTTTTTGTTTAACTTATCATTTATGTTTTTCTTGCAAAATGAGGAAAGCACTTCTTTGTTTTATTTCTTCTTATTAAGGGTTTCAAACTTCTTCTGCTTAATTCTTCTTTTTAATCCTTTGTTTATTTTCTGTCTTAATTTTAAACATTTTCTTTTTCCTTTTTTCTTTATTTTATGAATGAGAGAAGAGACTATTTCATTCCTACTATATTATTATGTTTAATTTTCTTTTAGTCTTACCCACACTTTAGTACTTCCTTATATTACACCATGTAATATTCTATCATAATATCTTGCTACACCCTTTGCAGTTTTACCTAATACATTTCTAATTCAAAGGTAAAATCATAACCAGATAATAACTGGGAGAGTCGATGCTTGAATTGTAATAGTGTTTGTGTGTGGTGTTTCAGACATGCCACTTTTCTATTTCCAACAATAAGAAATAAAGAAAATAGAAAAATAATAAAATTGGATAGATGAATGTTAATAAAATTGTCATTTATTCATTAATTAATGAATATTATTTACATCATATATCATTAAAATAAGTAATTTATTCTTCATTTGTTATTTAGATTTTTTTCTTGTTTCGTGAGTAAATCATTTTATTTCTTTTATTTGTTTTATTGTCTTTTTATTCTTTTTATTTTTCATCATTTTAATTATTCTCATTGAATTATCATTTATTTATTTCTTATTTTATGAATGAATATTTCATTATTATTATTATATTATTATGTATAATTTCATTTATTATTAATATCATTTATATCATTTTATTTTCTTATTATTCTTTCATATTATCTTATTTCATTCTTTCTATTATTATTTATTATATTTCTTATTAAATTACTTCATCATATTCAATTATTATTTGATATTTCTTTTTTTTGATTTTGTATTAATATTTGTGTGTTGTTTCTGATTTTCATTATTCATTTCTCATTCATTTTCATTTAATAAAATAGAAGAATAAAAATAATGAAAGAAGATAAATAAAATAAGAATAAAATAAGATAAAATCAATGATATTGTTATTATATTATTATGTTATTTTAGTTTTGATTTTATATTTATTATTTTATTTTTATCTTTTATAATCATCATTCATTTCTTCTTTTTGTCTTTTCCTCTTTTCTAATCATCACTCAATTTATTCTATTTATTTCCATTTCATTTTATTTTATTTATTCTTGTTGTTATTTTATTTATTTCTTCTTTTATCATTTGTCATTTCTTGTTTATTCTTGTTTGTTGTATATTTTATTATTATTCTTTATTTTATGTTGTGTTATTCTTATTTATCTTTCTTATTATGTTTTGTTTATTATTGTTTAAATAGAAATAAAAATAAGAATAAGAAATAATAATATAAATATGTTGATGTATTTTATCATTTCTTTATTTGTTTCTTCTTATTTCTATTATTTTATTCATTTGATTCATAATGAATTAATTCAATGAAATAATACAAATAAATTGTTTATTTATTCGATTTATTTCTATTTCATTCTTATTTCTTTTCATATTTATTAAAAACACCCTCATTGGGTGTGAAAGTTTTATTAAATGAAATAAAATAAATCAACATTGAATTATGTCAATTTTTATTTCACCATTTCATTCATTGGCAGATGAACGAAATGGCTGTTCATATTCTTCATTGATTTGTTTTTATTCTTTTTTATTTCATTTTCAATTCATCAAGATTGAATCATTTCATTTCAATTACTATGAATCGTTTTGGTGTGAAACATTCTGGAAGTTGTTTTCCACAAAGTGCATTTGACATTCCATTATATTCAAATGAAGATTGTTTACAAGATGATTTTGTTTTATCATTTTCTTTACAAACAATAATATCATTACCTCCAAATTCAAACAAACAATTATTTGTTTGGTTCCATACCCCAAATGCATGTTGTGGTTGTTTAATATCAAATTTCATCATTCCTTCAATTCTTCCAGTTGATTCTAATGAAAATAAAAATGATTTTGAATCATTTATATAATCATTAACTTCATCAATTTTAGAATTAACATATCCTCCAAATTTATTTCCATCTTCATCTTCAATAATAATTATTATATGTTCTTTATTCATTATTCTTTGATAAAATACTGATGTATCTTTACTCCAATTATCAATATCTGAATCAAATAGTATATTGAACACTTTTCTATTTGTCCATTCTTCGATTTGTCGAATTTCTTCTTGACTCTTCATTTCTTTTCTTTTTAATCTCTTTTCAATCTCATTCTTCTTTTTTTTAAACCTTTTTTCTTTTTCTTGATTTATTTTTTGTAGTCTTTCTTCTTCTTCTCTCTTCTTTCTTTCTAAATAATCACTGTAATATGTTTCCCATTCTTCTTTCGTCTTATTAAATTTTTGTGTTATTTTATCTTTTTCTTCTGGCGTTCTGAATACCTTATCTTTCATTCCCATTTCTTCAATTGAAATGATTTTATCTATTAGTTCATTCCGTGTTTTACTTAGTGTTTCTTCATCCGATTTACATTTCATTATGATTATTTCTATTTTATTCTTCATTATTTCTATTTGGTTGATTGTTTCTTGACTTTTTTCTATCACTAGTTTTCTTCTTCTTTCTGTTTCATCCATCCTATCAAATATTCCTTCTCCTCTTTTAATTGCTTCTGAATATGTTTCATTATCTTTTATTTTAAATACTTCATTTTTAATACTTCCTAAATAATATTGATAATTCTTATTAACTTCATCAATTGATTGTTGAATGTTTGGAAGTGTTTCTACTACTTCTTTAATTATTTGGTTATTCTTATTTATTAACTCTTCCATTTTAATTTAATTTGATGTTTATAAGTTTAAAATATGGATGTTTAAATAGTTAATCCACGTTATTAACACATCAAGTCAATAATTATTTTTATCACCATTCTATTTTAAACAAATGTTATTTTTATCATTTTTACAATAACAATAAATATATAATAATATTAATAATATAATAATAATAATATTATAATAATGTTATTTTCTATAATTAGTTTATTTTATTTTTAATATTTTTTCATTTTTGTTTAATAAATAAAAAGTAATTAATTAAGTGTTAATAGATTTTTCATATATTCTTCCTAGTTTATTGGAGATTAATCCCAGTGCTGTTTAAAAAAGAGTAATCTTTTTGTTTAACTTATCATTTATGTTTTTCTTGCAAAATGAGGAAAGCACTTCTTTGTTTTATTTCTTCTTATTAAGGGTTTCAAACTTCTTCTGCTTAATTCTTCTTTTTAATCCTTTGTTTATTTTCTGTCTTAATTTTAAACATTTTCTTTTTCCTTTTTTCTTTATTTTATGAATGAGAGAAGAGACTATTTCATTCCTACTATATTATTATGTTTAATTTTCTTTTAGTCTTACCCACACTTTAGTACTTCCTTATATTACACCATGTAATATTCTATCATAATATCTTGCTACACCCTTTGCAACTTTACCTAATACATTTCTAATTCAAATACACCGTCATAACCAGATAATAACAAAGAGAGTTAAAACATGAATTGTATTAGTGTTTGTGTGTAGTGTTTCAGACGTAACACCTTCGATCTAAAAGAATAAAATATATAATGAAGAAAGAAAAATAAATTTAGAAATGAGAGAAATAAAGAAATAATATAAGAAAGTAAAACAATAAAATTGAAAGGAGTAACAATAACAATATAAGATATTGAAAAAGTAATAACTATAATACCATCATAGAATGCATCATGTATAAACACATTACGAGGATATTATCTGAAAAATTAGAAAGTAATAGAGATAAAATAAAGAATATATTTAATGAATAGATAGAAATACTAAAAACATTCACATTAGAAATGTTAAGAGGAAGAATAATTTTAATATATAAATGTGGAGATAATAAAAATACAGCGAATTGTTGACAAATCACTTGTTTAAATATAATTATGAAAATATTCACAACAACCATAAAAATGAAGATATAAGAATAACTAATAAAGAATAAAAATAAATTTAAAAATAATAAAAGTCAGTATTGAAACAAGAAATGGAGTTTAGCAGCTAATGAATGAAATATAAAGAGTTTAATAGAAATAAAATAAAGAGAAACACAACATAAAAGATAATTAGAAACATTTTATGATAATAAAAAGCATCTGATAATGTAAATCATACATGACTAGAAATTATATTAAAGTATTTCAAAATGCAATTTCAAATAACACAAATAATAAAAAGTAAGAGTGAAAGATAGAGAATAAAAATATGATATAAATATAAAGAAGAAATATGAGAAGTCAAAATAAACAATTATATTTTATAATGTGACTATACTCTCTCTTATTCATATTACAAATGAATAACATTTCTGATGTAATTGTTTAAAATGAGAAATGACTAAAAGTAACACGTGAATTATATATGGATAACATCAAAGTAACTAATGAAACAAAAAGGAAATAATACATCAGAAAATAATTGACACAAATGAATCAATAGAATTGAAATAAACATAAATAAATGTTGAGTACTAAAAATATGAAATATAAGTATTACAAATAACATGAATATTATACAATTAGAAGATAAAGAATATACATATAAATATTTATGAAATGATCAAATTACAAGAAATGATGATACATGATGTATAGAGAATAAATAAATAATAATATAAAAGAATGAATAGAAGAAATAAAAGAAATGATAATAATATGAATTATATTAATAGAATAAATACAGAAATAACAAAAAATTCACGTATAGTGATTCTATTGTTAAATAACCAATTATGAAAATAAATGAAATGAATAAAATGATAAGAAAATGAATAAAAGAAAGAAATATAAAATGTACAGGAATGTGTATGAGTAGATTATATTTCAATCAAAATAAAATGGAAATGGATTAAAAAGTATAAGAGATGAATGTGGTATTGAAATAATAAGAACAAATATGTATTTCATGTTGAAAAGAGGAGATAAAATATGAGATATGATAAAGGTAAATAAAAAAAAGAATTGAATATGGAATATATATTTATAAAACATGTGGAAAAAGAATAAACAAAGAAGAATTAAAAATAAATGAAGAAGATAAAAATAAAGATAAAAAGAAAATAATAAAAGACATAAAAGACAAGTTTCAAGAAGAATATATCAATAAGTTGAGAAATGAGAAAGTAAGGAGTGAATATTTAAAATGAATTGAAGATAAAATAACAGACAAAAAGAAAAATAAATAATATAATAATATAATAAAAAGGATTTAAAAAAACAACAATACATGTATTGAAGAAGAAAGATAATTAACAATCGTATTTGTTGATAAAATTTAAATATTTTCTTCATTTTCAATAACAAGAATTAGTTTGAAGTTAAAAAATACAACAAGTTAATTTAAAAATATTAAAATAGAACTAAAAAATATAATATAAATTAATTTAATATGTTTAGTGATAAAAGTCCTCTTATTAGTGGTGCTACTTCATTTTTTATAAACCAAGAACCCGACCCACAATCAGTTTGGTGGTTTGATAAGTTATTTGAAGATGAAGACAAAGGAACCTTTTCATGTTTGAAATTAACATGGAGTCAAAGAATATTATTTTGTTTAGGATTTTGTGGGTTTGGAATGTTATGTATTTTTATGGTTTGTTAATATCAGATAATTCGTATTACAATTTGTGAAGTGATTATTTACAAATTAGTCACTTTCATTCTTTTTCTTACCTACTCGTTTTGCAATGACATTCACTTTTGGAAATATATTAATTTTTATTGGAACGTCATTTTTAAGAAGTATTAAATCTCAATGTCAGTCATTATTAAATGACCCTTCAAAGTTAATTTCTTTTATTATTTATTTTGCGTCAATTGGTATCACTTTATTTAGTGGTCTTTATGTTTGTTTTTTTGAGTATTATGTCTTTTTAAATAAGTACCAAGACTGATATCAATTAGATCAATTCTACACTATTGACAATTGTTAGTATAGTCATAGAAATATGTTCTTGTATATGGTATATTGCTTCCTATATCCCTTATGCTCAAACTTGTTTATCAACAACATGTAAAGGGTGTTTTAGACGTAATTGAATTTTTTAAATTGGTTTAGGTAGAAGTTTTAAAAAAGAAATAATCTTTAAAATATCATTTTATGTCACTTGTTAAAGAGTACATCAATAAAAAAGTAGAAGTAGTAACTACGTTAGGAAAAGTGTATATTGGTATTTTAACTGGATATGATAATTTTATGAATATTGTATTAAAAAATTCAATAGAACGTACATTTTCTAAAGAAGGAGTTTCAAATATATCATGTGGATTATTGATTCTTCGTGGTGATGAAATGTTTGTTATTAAATTAAAATAATTAAAAAGAAAGAAATCTTATTTTTTATAGTATGGTTATTGGAGGTTTAAATGAAGAAAAAGACACTCAACTTGATTGGCAATGTGTAGTTTCCAATCCACTTTCTCAAGCATTAATATAGATTAATTTGATTGTTATTTAAATAACATAGTTTCAAAAAAAAAAAAATAAAACATAATAATAATTTTAAAAGAAAAATCAAAACATTTAAAAAACTGTTAAAAAGAGTAAAAACAAATTGAAATTATTAAGATGCATCACAATAATATTGTTCCTTTAAAACCTTTACCTACTCCACAAAAAAAATCCTTCCAACAACAAGAAGAAAACGAATTGATTGCTTCTGCTCCATTAACACCTTCATCTAGAGTTGTTCCTGTTAAAGCTTTACCACCAAAACCCTCTCAAAAAGAAGTAGATGAAAGAAATTGTGAAGAATCACCTGTTTTATTAAAAGAAATGAATTATCCACCTCCTCTTTCAATTTCACCTCAAAGCAAACACTCTGTAGATTTGGAAAAACATAAAATGAGACATAGAGCTTCTGTTGGTTCTAGAAATGATATGTTTAATTCATTTGATGAAAGAAAAAAAGAAACATCAACTTCTCCTAATTTCTTTAAAAAAACAACTACAACTCCTGCAAGTCAAAAAATTAATACTACAGTATTTGATATAAACCCAACTAGTCTTGAAGCTTCATTATCCGAGTCACATATAGATTCAAAAGATATGTCTCCTAGAGTATCTATGTTAAGTGATAAAAAAGAAAAAACAGAACAAGCATATGTACTACAAACACAAGAAAGTAAAATTCATGAAAAAGTAAATCAAAAACCATTAAAAGAATTAAAACATGAAATAAAACCAATTCTTCCAACTGACTTTTTAAAGAAATATCAAAGTTATTTTACAACAGAAAATCAAGAAGATAAAATTCGATTTATCCCAAAGAATTTAAAAGGAGAAAAAGTTATTGGAGATGAATTAATGATGCATACAGCTGAATTAGTATTTACTGAATTTATGTTTTGTGTTAAATTACAAATATTTCAAGAAATTGAAAGAATAATAAGAAATGAAATACCATTATTAGACTATCAAGAATATTTATTATTTGGGCCATTAGATAATCTTGTAAATGAAATTAGTCAAATGTGTTTAGAGCTGGAACCTATTTATTATAACCTTTTAAAAAATACATCCAATAAAGAAAGTGAACTCAATAATGTATTTCTTATAATTGCAATATATAATTCTTATATTTTTGATAAACCATTTAAAGATAAATTTAAAGAATTTGTTGCACATTATACATCATTAGGAAAAACAATTATTGAATTTATTAAATCAAATAAACATCTTCATAGAATTATTCAAGAACAATTAAATAATTGTATTGATCAAAATATTAAAGAAATTACTGATTTATTCTTTTCAGCAACACAACGTATTTGTAGATATGAATTATTATTTGAAAGTATATTAAAAGAAATTCATCAAGAAGGAAAAGAAAAAGATATTTTAATAAGTACTATTAATTTATTTAAAAATATGAATATATCAATTAATCAATTTATTTCCAAAACAAGACTCTTTTATTTAAAGAAATATGAATATTTTGAAATAAGTTATAAATCAAATATTTCTCTTCAAATGGTTAATACAATTAAAAATAGTTTCATATGTGCTGATCATTTTATTGGAATTTTTTATGGAATTAAAAATACTGGAATTAAATCAAAAAAAACAGAGTTACTTTTATTTAATGAAGGAATATTAAAAAGATATTGTGAAGAAGAATTTTTTGAATTTTATCCAATAAATACATTAACTGCAAAAAAAACTGGAGAATGGGAAAAAGAATTACTTCCAAATGATGTCTTCTTTTTTGATATTAAAAAAAATAAAATGCAAATTATTTCACTTGAAAATGAAGAAGAGAAAAAGTTATTTAATTCTAAAGTAAATCAAATGTTTGATCGTTTTAAAAAGTCTTTAAATAAACATTGATTATACGATGTAAATTTAATTCATTTATTTTTTATTTTTAAATTTATATTTAAGTTCTATTGGAGCAATTGGTTCTAATGCTTCAAAATGATTTAATTGAGTTAGTTGTTCACAAAAATTAATATGAAAAGAAGTTAATGTAATTGGAAGATCAATACTTTTAAGTTTTTTATTATAAAAAATATCTAATTGTTCTAATCCACTTTTTAAATTTAAAGAAGAAAGATTTGAACACCAATATAATGATAATGATTTTAATGTTGTTCCTATTGTCAATGTTGATATTTTATTACATTCAATACATAATAATGACTCTAATGGTACTTCATGTAGATTAGGAAAAGAACATACAGAATCACAATGACTTACTTCAACAACTTTAGCTAAAGGTGGAATATAAAATTCTTTAATTGAATTACATGATGATACACAAAATTCTTTTAAAGGAATTTCTAATAAATTTGGAAGAGAAAAATTAAAAGATGTTGTAATTTCAAGTCGAGTTAAAGAAGTTGGAAATAAAAAAGAAACTGGTTTAGAGAACATAGAATTAACTAATCTAAATTCTTGAAGACAAATAACATTTTTTAAATCAACAATAGAATGAATTGGAGTTACTTCAATTTTATAACCAAAAATATCTAAATGAGGTAGAAAATGAGATAAAGAAATTTTATGAAGTTGATTTGAAAAAAGAAGGCTATCTGGTAATGATAGAGTATAATGATCAAGAAATAATAATTTAAAATCATAAGAAGATAATGATGAAGTAAGTTCATTCTCAAAAACACCAAATGTTATATTTTTTTTATTTAATAATTCTAATACATTTGTTAAATGTGTTTCTTTTAAATTATGAATTAATAAAACACAACTAACTCTTGTTGAATGAAATTTTTGTAATACTTCTTGTAGTCTTAATAAATCATCACCATTACATTCAATAAATAACTTTTTAAAATAAGGAAGACGTTGTATTGTTTGAATAATATTATTCATAAATTTAATAAAATAAATCATTTCACTATTATTATTAATATCAACATGAAGTTTTTGAAGAAAATTCATTGACTCTAAATCAAATGTTAAGTTTTCATCAATATAAAATCCAAATTCACAAATACGTTGTTGAATTTTATGAATAATATTTAATGGTGCATAAATTAATTTTCCAACTAACTCAATTGTTGATAAGTTTTTTAATAAACTAAGGTCTAATTTTTTTATAGTCTCAATATCACATCGTAATGTTTCAATGTTTGGAAAAAGAGTAATTTCTTTATTAATAATTTCTTCTTTTTGTGTTAATGAATCAAATGGTCCACTATAAAATGGATTCTTTTTTACATAAGAAAATGAAGTAAAACAATTTTTTGATACCATCGTAAGATTAATAGCATCTTGAATTGTTTTTAAATATCTCACAATAACTTCAAATGGTAATGTTGTTTTTTTATTAGAACAATTATAATCACTTCTTTCAAAGTGTTTTTTTGATGTAGATAATATAGAATAATTATTTGTTGAATTTTGAGGAAATAGGGGTTTCTTTCTAAATAAGTTCATCTGTTCTTTTCATATTTTTCTTAGTTCCTTAATAAGATTCGAAGATGGCACGTCAGAGACACCACATGAAACCCTAAAATAATCCCATGCTTCGAATCTCCCAGTTATCGTCTGGTTATGACGTGCCTTTGGTGAGATAATGACTATTTAAACATAACTGACTATTATTTAATATTTATTAGAAGTGATTATTATGAAAGAATATTATTCATTAACGTGTATTGTTATTCATTGAGGTGTATTGTTATTCATTGAGGTGTATTGTTATTCATTATTAATTATAAGGATTATTATTTACTAAGGGAGTATTAAGTATTAAGAATTATCATTTATTAAAGAAGACGCATATATAATTGATATTGTTGCACAAAAATTAAACATAAGGATATTATCAAGGAATAGTGTTTCTTTAAGGGGTGTCGAAGGTAAAAGGAGATGAGCTATAACAGTATGTTATGGATATACTCTCCTTAAAACAACAATATAAAGAATGAGAAATATTATATTACTCATTAAAATCAAAATAAAAGTCAGGCAGCAACTTAAATGAGGAACCATTTAAGTCGAGCATGCTTGCAAAAACTTTATTTGAATAGAAATAAAGCGTGTTGAAGAAACTGATTCACTCACTTCTCAACATGATGAAAAACCTAAAAATAAGGTTAATCATAATTGATTTCTTTTTTTTTTTTTTTTTATTTTTCTTAGTTCCTTAATAACACAATTTTAAAAACATAAAATGAGTTTAGAAATAAAACTATTAAATAATAAAAAAATAATAATATTATTATTAAATAACTATATGTATTTTCAATGAATCTGATTCTGAACTTAAAAAGACTGTTTGGGTATTAAATATGTTTGCTACTTCTAAGAATAATCGTAAAGGATTAAGAGCAACACCCCATATGGTTAATGCATTAGATCATCAAATTCCTTTTATTAAATTATGTCAAACAGAATATAGATATCATGAAAAAACCAAACAATTTATTTATACATTACAAAATTATTTTAGTTCTTTAGAAGTTAAGTATTATGAAACATTAAGAGTAGAGAATGGAGATAATGAATGTGTTGAACTTAATGACGAATATAAAATTCCACAAGAAGGAATTATAGATGTCATTGGTTGGATTGATAATAATAGAAAGAATAGTCAAGTTTTCTTTATTAAAAATGAATGTAAGTCTCTTATAATTCAATATCAGTCGTTTTCAACAAATATTATTTATAATCATGTTACAAGAGTCTCTGATTTAGTTCAATTTTATTTTCAATTACTTGTTCATATAGGTGTTATTAAAGATGTTATTACATCACGTAATTGGATGCAATATGGACTTAAACTTATTGATCAAAAGAAAAGAGTAAAAATTCTTCGTGGAAGTAGTTTAATTTGGGGAATGTTAAATGAGAAAACAGTTCTTAAATTTGAAAGAATTATGAAATTCACAGACTATAATATAGAAAGTCATTCAAGCTCAGAAATTGTTGATGAAATTGAAGTAGATTATATTCTAAAAAGTTCAAATGAAAATTATGGTGTGTTATGTTGTGTAATGATTCAAAATACACAAACATTTGAAACAATGATTGATAGAAACTGGACTTGTATTGAATTAAAGTCATTCATTTTTAAATTAGGAGAAATTAATGATCAAAGTTTAAAATTATATAAAAGAAAAGGATTATATCAATTAACTGAAATGAAAGAATGTGATAAGGTGAGTGAATATATTGAAACAGATAATATTCTTTGTATAGATATTACTCAACCATCAAAAGATGTTTTTCTGATGTCTGGAAGAATTTCATTTAATGAAATATCATTTAAATCATTGATTCAAGTAAATGTTTATTTGTTAAATGAAACACCTAAATATGTTAGTTGTCCAGTAGTTAATACATTTAATATTTCACTTACTTCAACATTAACAATTAAAGACATAATAACAGAATTATGTCCAGATCAAGATTGTTGTGTATTTATTCATATTAATGGGAATATTAGTTACCTAACAATTTATGACACTGTATTAGTTGAAAGTGAAATTACTAAAATAGGTATTATTAAAACTAAGAATTTCCCTTTTCTCCTCTCTAGACTTAAACATCCTAAAACATATAAAGTAATTACATCACTTCTTCCTAATGAACAAATATTATATATTGAACATAATCTCTTTATCACAAATTATCAAACATTAATTTGGAATAATAACTCATTTATTAAAATTCCTCATTGTTCTGTTTGTAATTGTGTTATATGTACAATTAATGAAAATTTAGATGTTTTTTCTTTCTTATTAAAAGACTTTAGATTAATAATTTATGAAGTAAGTCCTATATTAACTCCAAGACTACTTCATATTTATTCAGAAAATAAATTATTATTCCCAAGAGATAAAAAAGAAATATTTGTTTTTAGAACTCCTGAGGTTATTGTTAGTAAACATTTTTCATCATCATATGATATATTAAATGATTTTAAAAGAATGGGAGTAATCGGTAATCCAAATTTTATGGTTGTAGTTAATCTTTCTAAAATACAAAATAGAAATAACTTATATTTAAGTTTTAAATGTGAGACATATCCTTCTAAAATTATTCTTCCTAATGGAAAATATGACTTAAATTCACTTGTTAATTATAGGGCTAAAGGAAGATTTCCAGTGATATCATGGGTAGGTCCAATGAATCAATGTCTTTCTAGAAGTGCTCAACCTCTTCCAGGAACTTTTGGACAAATCAAGTGTGAATCTGATGTATCTATTCTTCAATCTATGATGGAATTATGTGGAAAGAAAACATTCTTTGTATATGATGCAAGACCAAAATTAAATACAAAAGCAACAAGATTCCAAGGAGGTGGAATGGAAAGTCAATCAACATATCCTTTTTGTACTTTTGAAAATTTAGCATTAGATAGTATTAAAGATATTAAACAAGCATTTTATAAAATGATTAAAACAATTGTCTTTGAGCGAAGAGATGTTTATGATTTTAAAACTTCAATTGAAAATTCTAAATGGCTTCAATCTATTGATCAATTAATAACATATGCTTCAGTTATTGCAAGTAAATTAAATTCAGGATATTCTTTATTAATTCATTGTAGAAATGGATGGGATAGTACATGTCAATTAACATCATTAGTTATGATGATGGTTGATTCATATTATAGTTTGTATTTTTGTTGTATTAATGTAATATTAAAATAACTCTAACTGATTTATTAGGAAATATAGAAGGTTTTCTTGTGTTAATACAAAGAGAATGGGTAGAAATGGGACATAGATTTCCATTAAGAACAGGATGTGGAGTGAAATGGGATATAGATGTATTACCATTTTTAACAACATATTATGGAACATTTAAAAAAGTAAATCAAAATGGATATCGTAGTAATTTAGAAACAATAAGTGATAAAGCAACATCTCCAATATTCTTTCAATTTTTAGAAGCTGTTCATCATTTAAGGAAAAATGCATCAACAATGTTCCAATTTAATGAAGAATTTTTAATATTCATTGCTGACAGTTTATATGATGGTCGTTTTACTACATTTTTTGAAAACACAATTAAAACAGAAGATATCAATCCAAGAAATAATTTATATGAATATGTTTTAGAACATATGACTGATTTTATTAATTCAAATTATAAAGAAAGTTCAATGACATTCTTTCCAATATTTGATATGAGTGAATTTAGTGTATGGAATGAATATTATTTTAGGAATGCCTCAAATATTCTTAGAGTACCTCAAACATCCAAATAAAAAAAAAATATGTAACTTCAATGTTATTTTGAATGGTTTTTTATTTGATGTTAATAGAAAAAGTAAAATGAAATTTTATTATATTAAAAATAATAAATAAATTATTTAGAAATAATAAATAATACTTTTCTTAAGAAAAACTTTTCAAAATAAAAGGAATAAAAAAAAACTTATAAAAAATAATGTTAAGTGATTCATCTTTATTCCAATCTAAAATACTCCTTCATTACTCTGATAATAGTAATGAAATTATTGATAAAGTTGAAATTGAAAAGATGAAAAAAAGATGTATTGGAACAAAATTTGAACAAATAAATTGGAACAATGATATTATTGAAATACCTTCTCCAAAAATTCCAGGTAAATATTTTATTAAATATATGAGAAATATTCCAATGTATTTTCAATGGTTTACTCAACAAAAACAAATAGATTTATTTTTTGAAATATTAAAGTTTGGAATAGATTTAAAGGAAGCTATTGCTTATACTAAAATTGAAAATAATATATTAAAAATTATTACTACAATTGATTTAGGTACTTTAATTGAGGCTGACAGAACTAAATCTTGTGAAAATTTATTAATTTCTGCTGTTGGTTTACAAGACCAAAATAAAGTTATTCGATTTTATTTTAATGAAACTACTTTTTTAAATTCATTTGTTGCTGGTAATGTTGATGAACATTCATTAGATAGAAGAAAAGCATTGAATCTTATTCCAACACATCTTGGAAAACAATTTGTTAATCGTAATATGCCTCAAATGGTTGCTGCTATTATAAGAAAAGGTAAAACTTCATTAGGACATAAAATGTTTGAATTATTTCAAGAATATACAAATATTTCGATTGAATTATTTATTAAGAATGTTCAAATGCTAGGAGAACGTTGGAAAAATGAAGGAAATACTGAATTAGCATCATTAGCTCTCACATATTGTGATTCATCTCAATCACTTCCAACAATGTCAATATCTTCTGACTTTAATTCTTTAACAAATATTGATACTGAGTTATTAAAACGATGGACTGGAATGAGGAATTTTAGAATTATATTTGAGAAAACTATTGGAGATATTGATTTAGTTCAATTTAATCAAGCAATTTGTGGAAGAAAAAATATGATGATTATTGTTTTTGCAGAAGATGGTAGTGTTTTTGGTTCATATTCATCAATTGACATTCCTCAACCACTTAATTGGATTAAGAAAGATGCTGGACATTTTATATTTACATTAATTAATCATCAAAGTGTTCAACCAACTCGATTTTATCCATTAAAATTAGGAAATTCTGTTTATATCTTCCAAAATGATTATATGATTTCTGTTGTCGCTATTCAAGGTGCTTTTAAAATTAACTTACGTTCAGAATCAACTTTTTCTTCTCGTTTTAGTAATTATTATAATGATTCTGTTGGACAAGGCTCTTCTATTTTTGTTAAAAATCCAGAAAAGTTCATTGTGAAATCATTAATGGTACTTGAATTTTATTAAATAATTGAAATTCATTTTTATTACTCAATTAAAAGTATTCTTATTGTTATTTATTGAGTTGTTCCTTCTGGTAAACGTAAAATAATGTGAACACCTGAATCAGTTTCAATAATATCACTAATTTCCCCTACTTTTAATTTCAAATAAGCGTCAGCAAATGGTTTTTGATATTGTTCTATTGTTCCTAATAATAATCCACCTTGAGCACTACTTGAGCAATCTGATTCAATTATTGCTGTTTGACGAAAATCTTTTTTCCCTTTAACAATTTGTTCTCTTAATACTTTTTATTAATATTTTAAAGTTAATTAAAAAGAATTTAAACAAACCTTTTAATTTTTGAATTGCTTGTTCTTTTGTTCTAGTAATTGTTGTTTCTCTCCATGAATGTGGATTTCTAGAACCAGTATGTTTTACTAAAATATGTGAACAAAATACTTGTGTCATGAAGTATTAATTATTAAGTTCTTTTATTGTTTTAATGAAATTAAAAAGAAACCAATTCAATTATTCTTCTAAAAGTTCATCTAATTCTTTAAATAATTTCAGTCCAATCATTTGAGCTTGCTATAAAAGTAAATAACAGTCTTATTATTATTATTTTATTAAAAACAAATAAATTGTAATAACAAACAATAATCATATCATACATTTCTTCAGTTTTAAAACATCCATTTCCTCCTTTTTGTATACCACATACTTTCCCATTAGAAGTTATTGCTGTAGTTATTTCTGAACCATTACATTTCTCTTCAACTTTGGATGGATCAGCAATAAACTCTTTTTCAAATTGAATTAAACTTACACATAATGGAACTGATTCTGGTTTAAATTTTTTAAATTGAACATTATCTTTGTCTATATCAACTTGTACAGTATCAGAATCTCCTGATATTACATTTACTATTGGAATTAATGTATTTAATAATGCAGCTCTTACAGCAAGTCCAGTGCAATCCATAACATTTCCATCGTCTTCTACTACAACTACATCAACATAAATAATCCAACATAATTTCCCTTTTAATACACACAATTCTTGTAACATATCTTTTCCAGCATTTTCAAGTGAAACAAGAATCATTTTCTCTATTTCAACATCACGACTTGTCATTGTTCCAACTTGTTTAACTAACACATTGTATCTTCCACTTTCTGGAGTTAATACTGATGGCTCACCTAACTCACATTTTACTCCAACAACAACTTCAGTTTTACCAAGACATAATCTGACAGATCCATTTGCTTGGTCAATTACTCCTTTCTCACATTTAATCTCTCTGAATTGAATATTAGCTCTTCCATCTGTTCTAATATTTGTTTTAATACCTTCTTTGATGAAGTTGATCTCCGGTTGTGAAAGGGCATTCATCTCACTTTTTCTTTAAATTTCTCTTTTTTTGTTTTTTGAGTTTTTTCTTTTTTTATAATTTTTTTATTTCATTTAGTTTTTTATGATTATCTTAAAAATATCTCTTTTTGTTATTTATTTTACTTTTTTTTTCTTTTTAAATAACATTTTTATGCTTTAAATGTTATATTAAAAATTTTATAAGAAAATAAAAAAGGAAAAGAGTGAATTATAGATAGACAAGTCTTTAAATCTAACTTATTAAAACAATGACATTTTATATAACCAACATTTTATAAATATCATACAAGAAATTAACAATAATATTAAAGTAATTCAAGATATATTGAATAATAAAGAATAAAAAATTTAAATATTTAATTAAGTTTTTAACTACTTGTTATCTAATTCAAAACTTGAAACAACAGCTTTTTCTTGATTAAATTAGACATTTAAAAAAATATCATTTGTTATTTATTGTTTCTCTTTTATTACATGTACTTATTGCTTTATATTTCAGAGCTGAGACTATCATTCAATTTTCTATCTATTCTATGAAAATTTACTAATTTGTATTAATATCACTTTTTTCCTATTCTCAGAATATTTTTATAAACAAACAATAACCATAAGAAGATGTTGTTATATCCAACACCAATAAAACATATCTTATTATACAAAAGATGAATAAGTTATTAAAACGATAAAATTTTATCATCTTTGAAAAAAACAAGAATTGAATAGTATTGTAAAAATGAAAATAGAATGTATGTTGAATGATTGATTGAATAATTTGTTGGGTTATTAACATGTGTCTGATTATTTATTCATATTGTATTTTTGTTTTATTCATAATTTTAAATGTTTATTGAAGAGTTAATAAATATAAACAATCAATTATTAATTGGAGTGATAGAAAAACTCAAATTAATCAACAATCAATTGAAGTTACTAAAAATTATCAATATTATTTAGGAAGTATTAATAATGAAATATTTGAAATAAAAGAGAATGAAACAAATGAACATGACGTTAAAAGAGGAGAATGAATATTTGATGGAATTGATGAAACATAAGGAATGAAGAAACAAATGGAAAGAATCATAAAAGAATGTAATAATGAAGAAATACGAAATAAAAAAATGAAATGAACTAATAGATAAAACCATTTCAATTGAAGAGACGATTATGGAAGATAAAATCAAGAAATTGGAATAAGAAATGAAATATTAAAATAAGAATTAACAAGAATAAAGAAGGCTTTGAATTTCAGTACAATGATTATTTCTTAATGAATAAAAGAAGAAAGACATTTCAAAGAATAAAACAAAAGAAATAAACAAATAAAAAAGTAGGACATATAATATTTGATTCAGATAACAATTATTAGAATGTTAATACAGTTGTATTTGAAGAAAGAATAAAGAACAACTAATAAATAATATTGAAGATACAAACTAAAATAACAATGGAAGATATGTTAGCTCTAAAATTGACAGAGTTTGTTATGATTATATACAAGATTCAAAATCATTTTTTATTTTCAAGAGAATCACAAAGAAAAATGAAAGGAATGAAGAAATTTGATATTAAAAAACAGAATATGCATTTTATTTATTTAATCAAACAGATAATTGATTTTTTGTATTTGGATATGGTGATATTCATGTTTATTAAAAAACATATTAATATTGTAAACAAAATTCATTTTCATATGAAAGAGTATTAAATATACATTATGGAAAGTAATATCCAAATAAATATTTCACACCAAAATGAATCATAGTAATTGAAATGAAAATATTTAATTTGGACTATTAGAAATAAAACGTCTTGGTTCATATCATAAAGTCATCTTATTCATAAACAAACTATATCTTAAATAATCAATAAATTTTCATTTAAAGGGAGTTGATTAAATAGATAATATGTCTATTTCTTTTTAATGTGTTGAAAGCACCAAGAGATTAACTCAGTATTATAATATATTAAATACATTTACTTCTTTAAAGTAGAAAATAACAAACAAAAGCATGAAATATTTGTGTTGTCTTAATACAAAATTAATTAATTCGTATTTTATTAACAAAATAGAATTTATATCACAGTTATTAGGCAATTGGTGAGTATAACAGTTAGTGGTATTTGAAAGAAATACAGTAACATACTTTTGTTATTTACTTAACACTTACAACAAGAATGCAAACAAATAAATTACTTGAAAGAAGTGATAAATTTTAAAAGTAATTTTATTTTTCAAGGTTATAAAAGATATTTCTAATTCATTATGACTTTATATATAAAATAAATAAGATAAACAAATCACAATTAATAAGAAATAACATAGAAAAAAAAGAATTTATAGTTAAACATATCTAAACATACTTACATAAAATTAATTAACAAAAAAGTCGATTTCTAACAGAAAGAAGATTTTCAATTAATAATGAGTGAATTTATTTTCCAATTTTCTTTAGTTTTTTCATTTCACTTAAAAGTTTTTGAGTATCTTTTACACTTTCAGTTTTCTTCCAAATTTTCTTAAACAATTCATCTGATTGAAGAGGATTAAGTTGTTGGTAAAGAGTGTATGCAGTTTCTTTATTATCACATTGAAGAATTTTTAGAGTATTTTCTATTCTACTGAATGATTTTTTAACATGAAGAGCATAATCAGTTTCACTATAAACTTCTTGTCCTTTTCCAACTTCACTAAAACTCGGAGCCTCAAGAACTGGTAGTTTTTGTAAAGAGCTTTTAATTTGAGAAAATCCCATTTGCATTTTTTGTGCTCCTTCAATTGAAATTTTTTTACATTTAAATATTGTATCAAACAACTCATCAATAATTAATGAAACTGTTGCATGACATATTCTAAGATAATAGTTTTGAAATATTTTTGATTTAACAATACTAAATTGCTGATTAATTAAACTAACCATTTGAAAAACATAATCATCTTCATCATCAATCGATTCACATGAAATATCCCAATTCATTTTTGTAATTTCTGTAATTGCTCCTTTTGCTTTTTCAATTAAACATAATACAAGATATTGAATGATAGGTTTAACACATTGATTAATAATACTAAATTGAAATGTTTGTAATTGATATGCACCACTAACTGTTGCCATTTCAGTATATCCTGTTAATAATTGTTCTAATCTTCCTCCAAGATAATCACATGTATTAATTGAAATACAACTTCTTTTAATAGTTTCATTTTCTTTACATTTGGATAATATACCTCTAGAGTATTGTTCTGCATGTTCTGCAATTTGGTTACAAATATCAATTAATGGCTTACCTTGAGTAATTTGAATACAACGTTCTCCACATTTTTTGCAATAGAAAATATAATCTTTACAAGATGGTAACACTCCATCTTCAGGATCTTCTTGGAAATTCTCTTCATTTAATACTTTATTCACAAACGATGTTAAGTTAGTATTTTCTAAATCAACATACCCTGACATATATGGTTCAAAACATCTGGATAATACACCAACGGTAAATGCAGTTTGTTCTGATTCTTTTGTTTCATTTCTATGTTCAAATGGATTAGACACATCAACATATGCATCTGTTGGCTCCATAGTTTCAAAATGATTTGTTTCAATCTTAGGAGATATATGCCTTGAACTTCCTTCACCATCAGTATTAGAACTCATCTTAACTTGTGGAGTTTTTGTTTCATGTTCTGAACTATCAGTCCCATCATCAAATGGATTTAAATTGGGTTGTGTTATTTCTTTATTTTCTTTTGTGTTATCACTATCACTATCATCGTCAAACGGATTAGAATCATTCACTTTCTTATTCTCATGTTTATGGGTAATTATTGTATTATGTTTAGTTACTCCATCAACTTTTGCAGTAGAAATATTAGAATTAGTTGAACTAAATGGATTATTAGTTTCTTCACCACCGTCTGATCCAGTAGAGTCTGATTCTGAAAATGGATTTTTTGATTGAGAAGATTTAATAGAATCAGTTGTAATACCTTTAGGTTCATCATCACTGCTATCATCAAATGGATTAGTTTCTGTATGTGGAGTAGACATAGCACTTGACATATTTTTTACAAGACGTTTTGGAGCACTAGTTTTAGGAGTACTTTGAGCACTAGCACTTGGTTTAGGTAAAGCCTTTTGATATGGTTGAGGAGGTGTTTTCTTTGGAACAAGTTTTAAAGAAGAATTAGAAGCCTTTGAAAGTTCCATTGGTGGTTTGATTGGTCTTTGGTATTCTTTATGATACAATCGTTTATACAATTGTTGTTCAAAAATAATTGTTATATGTAATGCTTTTACTATACGAGTTGTAAAAGTTGTTTCATCTATTCCATTTTGAGAATGAGCGTCATCTATAAGTTTATCTAATAACATAGAGAAAGCAACTTTAGTTGATGAAACAAATTCTAAAACTAAAGCTTCACCAACTTTCCAACGAGAAGGAAAAATAGTACTATACATGTCTTCATAACTTAAATACTTTTTATTAAACCAAATATATCTTTTATCAATATTATCTAATCCAGACATTTCTCCAGTTAATGGAAATTCATTAGAATAACCAACTAATAAATGGTTATACATCCATGTAACAAATTCATCAATATGTTTTTGACTTAAACTATCAACAATAGTAATAAACTGTTTTAAATCATCTTTTGACAAAGTTTTCTTTTCAAATTGATCAATAACTTTTTTAGCTTCATCAAGAACTCGTTCAGAAAATACGTCATATCTTTGTAAAGCAGTAGAAATTGTTGGTTCACTTGAACTAAATTTTTCAAATAAATTTAATAATAAATGAGTTGTTTGTAGAATTTTGATAATATCATCATACTTTTTTTTATCTAACAAATGATCTAATTTGTCTAGACAATTAAATAATTGATCTAAATGAGTAATTATTTGAATAATAGCTTCTAAATTACCTTTAGCATATCCCATTCTTCTCATACCATCACATACTTTTAATACTTCTTGTTCACTCATAACTGATCTATTTGTTGTTTCATGTGTTTGAAGTAATAAAGCTTTTAATTGTTCTGCTGATTCTGCAATTGTATCATTTACTGAAACTGATTTTTCAAAAAAGTTAAAAACTTGTTGAGACAATTCTTTTTCTGTGGCTTCATACATTTCTGTTATTTCTTTAAACTTTTTATTAAAATTTTTAGTATTTGGTTCTGGTAATAATTGATTAATAAATGCAACATCATCAAAATTAGGACTATCTAGTGAGGCAGTAGGATATAACTTTTGTGGTGGTGTTGGTGGTACTTTTTTCATTTTTCACTTCCCTGAAAATTTTCTTTTCTTTTTTTTTTTTAGTTGTAATTTTTGTTTTTATATTTTTTGTTATTAATAAAAAATATTAGTATTGAAAAAAACAATTTTCAATCTTTTCATTCACAAAATTAATGACAAAATAAAATGATTTTGATAAACTATCTCAAAAATTATTAAACTTAAAGAAATTAATCAAAATTCAAGTCTGTTTCGTTAATTATATTTTCTTCTTCTTTTCTATTTGAAAAAAAAATAAAGAAATAAAGGACGAAATTGTTAAAAATGAATCTGTCTCTTTGTTATACTTCACAATTCTAAATGAACTAATTTTGTTAAATTTGAAAAAAATTTTATAACTCAAAAGAAAAATACCAGAAAATTCAGAACTTTAAAAATTATTTAAATAATCAATTTATTTTTCTTTAAAATGACAAACTTTTTGAATATTTTACTTGCTGGCATCATATTGACAATAAAAAGAAAGAAAAGAAAAATCAAATGTTCGTTGTAAATTGTTTGTTACATCATTGCCACGTTTTAAAGAAAAAAAGAGATGAGTAGATCGTTGAAATGATTGGAACATTTCATTCTATTTTTAGAAAATAACGAAAATTTAACTTGAGATTCAACATTCATCTAGATATTCATTTATAAATAATGACTACAAAGAAAACAGTTCCTCTTAGTCAAATTGTTGATTATGCAACTAACGAAGTTAATCCTTCTCCTAATATTAAATCATTTTCTACATTAGCAAAAATTGTTCGAACATTACCAGATGCTAAAATAGCAATAAGAATCCAATTAACTAATAAAATTAAGTCTTATTGTAATGGATTCCTACCTAAAAAAGAAATGTATTATTGTCTTTGTTTAGCTGATTTTTTGGTTAAACAATGTCCTGAATTTCGACCTCAAATGATGAACTCAGACTTTATAGTATTATTTGAAAGAGCTTCTGAAATTTCAGTTTGTCTTATAATTGTTATAATTTATTTATTCAAACAAAAATAATTTATCTAAAATAGAAAGTAAGAAAAACTTCCAAGAAACCTTCTCTTGTTACAGAAAAATCTATGAAAATTGTTCAGAGTTGGGGTCAAATGTTCCCAGATGATTTGTATGAATATTCTCAAATGTATGATAAATATATCAGTAAAGGAGTATTATTTCCTCTTCTTGATTTTGATGATCCAGAAGATGTCGCTGCTATAGAAACATTAACTACTAACAAAGTTGTTGAAGAAACTATTGAAGAAAAAATGAAACGTTCTGCAGCAGAAATTAATGAATGTAGTGAACTTATTCATGAAACATTAAAAAAAGTTACTAATGTATCACTTCAAGCTCATTCTATTAATGCATTATATAAAAGAGCTATAGAAATTAATAGTAAGTTTAATATTCTTTTTGTAGAATTTATGCAAAAATCAACTGATACAAGTTTATTACAGAAATATTCAGAAATAGAAAATGTATTTACTTCAAATATTGCTAAACTCATTTCATTTATTAATAAGTTTGTTTTTATTTAATTATTTCTATTCTTAAAAACTTAAACTCTCACTATTTTAGTCCTCAACAATCTTTGATTTATCGTACATTCACTACTGGGCATCTTGATGAAGAAGATGATGATAATACAACCCTTAAAAATTCTGTTAATGCTCAAAGAAAAAAAAGAATTATCTTATCTCCAGCTAATTCAAATACTATTTCTGATACTGACAGAACTCCAAAAGAATCTTCTCATTCTACAAGAAGAGGATCAAACCAATTGTTACCACCTCCATCTTCTACAGGAATTCCTATAAGACAAACACCTCAATCAGTTATTCAAATTCATCAAAATAAAACTGATACAGAACCTACAGAACATGTAATAGTTCATAGAATTGGTAAATTAAAGAAACGATCCTTTACTCAAACAGAATTCAATCATGATTATAATGAATTAAAAGATTAAATTCTCAAAATTAAGTATTTATGATATTTAATATTAATTTAATGATGTTTTCATTTATTTGTAAGTTTTTTAACAAAAAAAAAATTAAGAAGTGATTCATTTAGAAAACATCATCGACAATAGCACAAAGAACTTCATCTTGAGTAGCATTTGTTTGTGTGTCTTGTTGTGAATCGTCTACATTAACTAAAGACGTTGAATTAATAACTTCAGTACTTTCTTTAACTTCTTCAGAAGGAACTAAAGGTTGAGTCTCTTCATTTTCTTTTTCATTTTTGCTGTTATCTTCACTTGGCTCATCTAAAACGAAATTCTCAATTCTTTGTGGTTTTGGAGGTGCAAGTAATGCTTCTTTTTCTTTTCTTGCTTGTTTCTCTTCACAATGTTGTTGATACATTTGCTTCCATAGTGCCTCTACTCTTTCTTCAATTTCAGCGAATTTTGGTCTTAAATTAGGATCTTCAGCCCAACAATCACTAATTAATTTAGCCATTTCAGGTGGGAAAGAATCTGGAATATTTAATCTGTTTCCTTTAGTAACAAAATCAGAAACATCCCATGAATGTGCAAAGTTTTCATCAGAATAAGGTACTTTTCTAGACAAGACTTCATAACATACAATAGCATAAGAAAAAACATCAACAGCTTGACCATATCCTTGATTTAATAATAATTCTGGTGCCATATATAATGGTGTTCCAATACCTTGTGTCATTGAGGCAACAACATTAGATGAAGAAACATCTCGACTTGTTCCAAAGTCAGATAGTTTTGCATTAATCTTTTCTTTTTTTACCATAGAAACTACCAAAACATTTTCTGGTTTTAAATCTCTATGAATAATCATTGAAGCATGTAAGAATGTCATTCCTTTAGCAACATCTGTTAACATCTTTAACCCAAGAAGTTGAGTAAACTTTTCATTTTCATAAACATTCTTTAAACTACCAAATTTAGCATATTCTGTAACAATAGAATAATAACCAGGTGTATCTACTGCTCCAATAAAATTAATAATATATGGACATCTCATTTTATCCATCATTTGAACTTCTTTTCTAAATGCTTCAACAACATCTTCAGGCCATGTAAAATTCTTTGTTTGTTTAATAGCAACATCAACTCCTCTGTATTTACCAAGAAAGACAATACCAAATGAACCTTCTCCAATGACTTTAGTTTTTTCAAATTCTTCATAATCCAATTTAATACTTTTTGCTGATTCTATTCCTATTTTAATTGCTGCATGATCTTCTTCAATAGATTCTTCATCACCTTTACTTGCAAGAACATCAACAATTTCATTCACAAAACAAGTACATAAAAATTTAAATTTGACTTGAATAGTTTCACCATATCCTGGCTGAAGTTTTCCTACTTTTGGAGAGAATGAAATTTCGAAATGATGTGTTTGAATATCCTGTGGATTAAAATTAAATCGATATGTTTTCTTTGTGTTATTTGCAATATAAATTTCTTCTGTTAATTCTTCATCTACAGGAACTGGTTCAGTTCCAGACCTTCCAAATGTTAAAGTAGAACAAGATAAAGATAATGGGAAATTATCTATTGGAGTAAATTCATAAGCAAAATTTCCAATTCTGAACTTAGTTTTTGGAGAACGTTTTTTATTCTTCTTATAAACAAGAAAGATTAAAATCAATGCAACAATAATACCAAGAAATATTAAAATAGATAATATAGATAATATGATTACTAATGTTTTACTTGCTTTTATTTTCTTATTTGGTTGACACTTTCCATCAGCAAAAGTTAAATTAGAATGACATTGACAAATAGAATTTACACAATACTCTCTATCATAATTACGAATTGAAAATTGTAATTCTGGATAATCATAATTACTTGGAACTGTAGTAACTCCTCCTAACCATGCTGAATTACCTGATGTACTTGTAACATATCCAAAATAAGTATATGAACTACTTCCATTAATACGAAGAATAGTTACAAATCTAGGATGATACCCAAAATCAAGTATATTATCAAAAAATACATATCCTCCACCACAATATGGATTATCACTTGTTCCATATCCTGGAGTTCCTACTACAATAATTTGTCCATATGAAATAATATTTTCAAATGGTCTATTTTTCATTGGTTTAAGATATTCTGTAACACCTTCTGCATAAAATGGAATTCCTGAAAGAACTTCTTCTTGTTCATAGTTAGTATGTGAATCAAATACACTCACTCTACGTTGATCAGAAACAACAACATATACAATATCATTTCTAGTAACTCTAACTGGATCATACATAAATGTTTCTGATGAACTTACATTAGCAACCTTAATTGTTTTATACAAAGTATAATTACCAAGCGTAGTCTTAGAATTAGCATTATTTGAAAATTTAATTAAAGTAACTTTAGTTTGATTCTTAATTGCAACAATACTATTACCAGTAGAAATATATTCTCCACAATCAAAATCACTTCTTATTATTTTAGTTAATGTTTCTGGAGAAAGAATAATTAATTTACCATTAGTACAAGCTAATATATAATCATTTTGAATCTTATCTGAATATTCAAAATGATGATAAGCAAGTGGTGAAAGTTCATCAAAAGTACCACTAAGAGTAGAGTTGATAGTAACTGTAGGTGGTTGAGAATTAAGGTCATATGAAACCATTACACGGTCATGTAAAAACCAAACTCGTTCTCTCATATCAATAATTTGTGGTCTTTTTGGTTCTCCATTTATATCAACAGTACCAGTTCTATTTTGAACAACTGAAAGAGTAGAGTCCCAATACAACTTTGTTGGATTACTTCGATTATAATAGATTGGCATATTATGTCTTGCTTCAGAACGTTCATTATATCCAATAAACCCAACAAAATGTTCTAATGAACTGTTGGCCTTTGTAATATCAGGTTCTACCAAAGTTGCAAAGGATAATGAAATAAGTGAAAAAAGAAGCAACATGATATTTACAGTTCAATTTTCAAGTTCTTTCTTAAAAAACCAATTAATTTAAAAATGTAATAAATACTAAAAATTATCATTTCAATTTAATATAAAAAAAAAGAAGAGGAAAAAAAAAAAGAATGAAAAAAAAAAAACATTTTAGAAATTACAATTTTTATTAAACTTGATTAACAGAAATGAAATTTAACAAAGAAAAAAAAAGTATTTTCCTTTAAATTTTTTTTTTTTCTTTTAAAGATAAAAAAAAAGATAACGGTTAATCTAAGAAAAGAATAAAAGAGATATTAAATAACAATGGAGAAATACGGAACAACACCAAATTATCATGTTAAAAAAGTAGATCATTTTGGATTTTCAGGAACTAATGCAGCGAATGGAACTGGTGCATATAAACAAAAGAGTTATTGTACTATTGTTGGAGGTGTTTCAGGCTGGGATCCTAGTTGCAGACCACAAGGAAAAAAACAAAAATTAACATTATACCATTATTATAATGGAGGTATGTCATTTTATGTTCCAATAGGTGATGAACCAATTTTCCCACAAAATTATTGTAAAGTAGCAATAATTAATGGATTTTTTGATAATATCCTTAAACTTACTGAAGACGTTGAAGGAAAATGGAGTACTTCTTCTTCTGTAGAAAAATTATTCACTTGGGTTCATGCAAAAGAAACTAAAACTGGATATCGTGGAACACTTGTTGGTGATGTTGTAGTTGAAGAAGATGGATTTACATGGAGGTTAATGGACAATGGGTGGTACTTCATTGGGAAATATCCAGGATATGCACTTTAAGTTCAATTTGTGATTACACAACACAAAATTCAATTCTTTTGAAAGTAGAAGTTATGTTATTTATTTTAATATTCAAATCAAAATAATTCGTTTCAAGTTTTTTTTTGAACGAACTAAAATTTTGGTTGTTCTTAAACTATAATAAAAAATTACAAAAATATTATTGTTAATAACAATAATAACTTATAGAAATAATCCCAAAAAAAAAAGAAGATGTTTTATGCAAAAAGATTGAAAAGTTTTACTTTTTTTCTTTTTCTTTACTTTTTATTTTTAAAACTCAGAAACACGAGATTAACAGATGTCAAAGGTATATCACACAGATGGTAAAACTATAACTATAAATACTGATTATTGTATTGGTTGTGGGGCATGTGTAGATATTTGTCCTACTGGTGTACTTGATGTAGTTGATAGAAAGAGTATGGCTGTTAACATTGATAATTGTTGTAAATGCAGGGAATGTACAGGAGTGTGCCCAGTTGATGCAATAACTATAGACTAATGGAGAAAAAGTCTTTTTCTTTTTTGTTCCATTTTCATAGAAACCAATTTGATTTTGTTTTACTTTTTGGTTTATTTTTTGAAAATAAAGAATAGGATGAGATGTTGGTTCATATTTTGTTGATACAATCATGTTAGTTTTCTAGTTTTTTAACTCTTTCATCAATGGTTGTTTTATTTCTTTATATTCTTTAATAACAAAAAAATTAAGAACTAAATTTATATTTCTGTTTTTCAATGACGGATATACAACAACTTATGTCTTGTGAAAAATTCCTTAATGACTTAATTGGTAAACTTGTTTCTATTAAGTTAAAATGGGGAATGGAATATAAGGGTATGCTTGTTTCAAGAGATGCTTATATGAACTTTTTATTAACAAATGCAGAAGAATGGACAAATGGAGTTATGGCTGGGAAGGTTGGAGATGTGTTAATACGGTTAGTTTTTTTTTAATTATTTTTGAATAACAATTATTAGAGTATAATGAATTAACTAAATAGATGTAATAACGTTTTATATGTTCGTGATTTAAGTGATGAAAAATTATGAATAAATAAAAACCGTTACAAATTAATTAATCCCACCTAATGGTGGAGAAAGACTTTTAATTGATATTTTACCACCAGTGTGTTTCTTTTTAGTTAATAGCTCTTTCTTTAAATCGGAGAATTGACTTTCATTAGATGTTTTAAATGTAACTATCTCTCTTAATGGTTTAGCAAATATTTTTATAGTAAAGATTTTCTTAGGGACTTTATCTTCAAATTCATATGAATGACAATTAACAAAATCTTCATCTATAGTATCAATAATTACAAAGTCATCTTTTAATAATTTTACTGAACCTTTTGAATATGACTCATTACAAATACCATATAATTGTCCTTCTTCTATCATTAATATGTTTGACCCTTTAGTTAATCCTTTCTTTTTGTTTAATTCAACTAACATTGTTCCATCATATCGTTCCTCTTCTACAGTTATAAAAGTCCCTCGTTCAACCATCTCTTTGTTTAATTCAAATGGACAAATAACAATACCCATTCTATCTGTATTAGTAACTACTTCATTTACAATTTGAACCATTTGATTTAATTGGTCAAGAACATAAAAAGGTAATATTCCTTTTTTACCATCAGCTCTAAAACAAATAGCCCACGTTTTTATAAATCGTTCAACAAATAAAATTTGACCTGGTTTAACTGTTAATTGAAACATTGATTGTTTTGTATATTCTTGATTCACTTTAAAGTATTTACAAACTTTTTGTTCATAATATTTTTTTTCATAATTTAAATAAGCAGCAGGAACATAACCAAATGACTTTTGTTTATAAACCAACCACCAATTACTTTGTGGACACTGAACAATCATAACTTCTTCATCTTTTTCTAAACTTAATGTTTTTGAATCACAACTTTTAAATGGATATAATACTTTAGCATTACAAGGCAATTCTCTTGGAACAGTAACTAGTAAATAAATTTCTTTTTTAATTCTTATTCTTCATTATACATCTAATTTTAAACAAACTTAATTTCTCTTTTGAAGTATATCTGGCAGTTGTATTTTCTTTAATTATTTTTACTCTATTTCTTGGAATATATCCACTTTCATTTTGTTTATTAAATACTAATAACCATCCACCTTCAATATTGTCTTCAGTGCAATCAAGTATTTCTCCTTCTTCTATTGACAAACATTCTATATCATCTGATGAAAATTTAAATAATGCTTGTACCCTAGACATAAATATATTATGTTTGCTTATATTATAATTAAATCAAACTTATATAACACCTTTGTTTTAGTAAAAGAATCCAATACAAATTTTGACTTATCAAACACACTCACCCTATATTAAATAAGTTTGAAATTATTTATTTCAGACTTTGATTATCAAACTTTCCATGTAACCTTCCTCTTATTTTTTCTCGAGGTAACATCGTAATAAATTCAATAATATCACCTTTTTGATATGACAATTTTGATAATGTATTTGATTGAAAAGAATCAATAGCCCTCAAATAAACAGTTGACTCACTCATGTCTGAACTATTTACTATTCTTTTCAGTTTTATGCAATAATCCTAAAAAAAGAATGAACTTCAAAACATATTTTTTTTCTCTTTCATTAGTGAAAAATCATATTCTAGAATTTTTAAAATAACTCATTTAGTGTTATTGCATTACTTCTTTTTTCATTTAATAATTCAAAATTATCAAAATGTTTTTTATTAATTTTTTGTTAAATTTAATTTCTTTACTCATTTATTATTTTTAATAGTAAACTCATCCTACTTCTTTTGATACATCATTAAAAAGCAATTAATTAAATATTAATAGAAATAGTTTCTAATGTTCTTTATTCATTGGAGACAAGTTCAATCAATTTATCTTCTTCTAATAACTCTACAGAGTATGTTTGGTTGTGATTGAAGCAATATTCCATGACATCTATCATATTTTGTATTACAAGGTTTTTTATTTCTTTAATGATGTCTATCTCAATTTTTAATTCTTTAATTAATCTAATACTATCTTTATTTATTAATCCATTTATTGAGATTACTACTGGAATTATTTTGACATCTTTTAATTTTTCTATTTTCATTAGAATATTTTTTAATTCTTTATGCTTAATTCTTTTCTTCAAATACACTCAATTAATATTGTGATCAGCCACAATAGTCATATCAAATATTAGACCAGTTTTATTCTTTTTATCTATTACATATATGTTTGGTATTTTATTATATTATCATTCACTTTTTGCATAATTTGTTTGTTCAAAATCATAGTAATGTCTTTATATTTGAACACTGTTTCATATTGTATATTTCTTATATAGTGATAGATCATGAATTGTCTATAAAATAATAAAAATAATGAAAGAAGATAAATAAACGAATGATAAAAAAGACAGAATCAATGGTATTGTTATTATTTTAGTTTTATTTAAATCATTATGTGGAATGATAGAAATAGAAATTATGATAATGTCATACTAACAATAAATGAAATAAATTTAAGTATAATGAAAATAAGTAATTGGAAAGCACTAAGAATAGAAACTATATATGGATATTATTTGAAAAGAATGTCATCATCAAGAGAAATCATTCTCAGTATCTTTAATGAATTGTTAGACAATATAATTCCTTATCAACTTTTCTTTCAATATTTTTAGAAAACCAAAAAATAAAAGTTTGATTATTAACAATTTATTTCAAGTACTCTTTTCAAAAGGTATTTGATATAATAGATGTTATGTTATTTATTATAAAATCCTTTCATTATATATTATAAATTAAAATAATTCCTTTAATTAAAAAAATTATAAAGCATCATGAGTATTGGTTATGTATTTATTTACCCATTGTGTAGTTTTTATTAATTATTTCCATAGGTATAATTATTGCATATCATAATTTTCAATTATTTTCTTTAAAAAAGATTATTGTTTGTTTTTGGAACATTTAGTACTTAAAAAATTTTTAAGAACTAAGAAAGAAATATTTATATGGTAATTATTTTCATTAGTATTTTTATTTCTATTTGTTCTGCTCAATATTTGAGACATTGTATGTATTTTGACGAAGAGTGTAAGAGAATTAGTTCATGTGAATTTATTCAGTTAAATACTTGTTTGGCTATTCCAAACCCTAAAAATACAATTGAATATTTTTATTCAAAAACTGTTCAAAAAGGAAATGAAATTGTTAATTATCAGTTTAGTTCAAATGAACTTTGTCTTAACGAAAGTTCTGTTCCAAATCATGTTAATACAATAAAACAATTTGGAGTTTGTGTTGCTGATAAATCTATATATATAATAGATACTATTGTTGATCAACTTGATAACATTGAACAAGGAGCTGTAGGGTATTTAAGTAATACGACACTTGTATTTTCTAATGACAATGAAACTAAACCATGTTCAATGGTATCAACAATTCAAGTTATTTATAATTCATGTGTTGAAGTAATGGAAGGAACATATTCAAAAGCAAGTGTTATTAATAATACACTTACGTTACAAACATTTAGAGATAAAGAATGTGTAAATTTAGCAATGACAAACATTGAAAGTCCATGTGGTTCATGTACAAAAGAATATTTTGGAAATGAGTTAACAAGATATGTAAATGTTCATTGTTATAAAAAAGAAGAAAAGAATGACACATTACCAAAACAACAAAAAGAGTTATAATTTATATTTTCTTTTTAAATAAAATATCTAATTGGTTTTTTATATAAAAATAAAAAATAAAACTTAAAATTATTTAAATTATTTAAATTATGCTATTCCTTCTTTTCTTAGTTTCTAATTATTGTATTTATGCAAAACTATTAAGGGAATGTGCTTATTTAGATGGAGATTGTAAAGAAATGATTGGATGTGAATATAGAGAATTAGACACTTGTTTAATAAGAACAGAACCAAATCCTAAATCAAAAATTTTAGAAACAATATCTTTTACTCTTAGTACTGATGGTAAGTCATTAAGAACTGATATGTATACTGGTAATGATCATTGTGAAAAAACAAAAGATAATTATATGAATAATTTAATTCCATTAGAACTAAATACATGTACTAATGCTAACCAACCTCCTTTCAGAAAAATAGTTAGTATAATCGATTCTTTGGAGAGTGATGAAAGAAAACCAATTGCTTACTTTACTAATTCTACTTTAGGATTAACTAAAGAAGGACTATGTGATAAAGCAACAGTTATTGAGTCAATGTTTAGTGGTTGTACTGCTTTTCCTGATGGAACATCTGCTATGTATCGAATACATAATAACAAATTATTGTGTGAAGCATTCAATGATAACCAATGTATTGTTTATCGTGATACCATTTTAGAACAACAATGTGAAACATGTTTTAGTGAACAAATTAGTGAAGGAGTTTATCAATACAGACAATTACATTGTGGTTCATCATTTATTAATAAAGTAAAAAACAATGATAATATCATTTTAAACAAATCTACTGAAGAAAATAAAAAAGAAGATGATGAAAAACAAGTAAAAACAAAAGAAGATCTTTAATAATTTATTTTCCAATTATTCTTTTATCATTCAGAAAATAAAAACGTATTGAAGCAATAAGAATAATTTTTTTCATTGTAAAGCTAAATTATTAGATAATATTTTAGTTATTTCTATATTCTATAATGTTTAATATACAGATACTTATAAATTGTCTTGTAAGTAAAGAAATTTTATTTAATTTTCTTTATGAATATATAATAATTGTATTAGAATAAATTACATTCAAATCCATTTTATAAAACTATTTATTCAATAAAAGAATAAATACAAAATAAAAATTATTCTTAAAAAATAAATAAATTAATAATAAGTAAGTTTAATAAGTAGTTTAAAATAACAAGAAATACTAACAGAAGAAAGAATTTTCAAAAACGCTACTAAAATAAAAAAATATGAAACAATAGAAGAAGTTATAAATCAACTCAAAAAAAAGAACTAATAATTATATTATTTTAGTGAATGAAAGCATTCCTTTTTGCATTTATTTGTGTTTGTGCACTTGCTGAAGAAGATTTGTTCAATCCATTTATTCATGGTAAAACCATCTTAAAACGAATGAGAACAATTAAAAATGCTAATAGAAGAAATGAACGAACATTATTAGCTCTTGAAAATAGAGAAAGAAAAATTGAAAACGCATTAGATATATTATATAATGATATGAAACTTGCAGTTGATATGGCAGATAGAATGAAGATTGAAACCCAAATTGATAAATTACATAAAAATATGGATAAAATTAGAAGACAAAAAAGAACTATTTTAAGAAGAATGAGACAAATGGCTGATAAGATTGCTCTTCCTGATAGAGATAGATTAGTTAGAAAAACAAGAATTGAGCATAGAGTTGGTCTTGAAGAAAATACTCATATTAGAAGAGAAATTGAACACAACCAAAAACTCCTTTTAAAAGAAACTCAAGCCCTTGCTCATAAATATGCTAAGATGGCTGCTGAAATTGCCTCAGAAAAATTAGTTAAGACTATTGACCATAAAAATGAAGGTGATATCTTAAAGGCTAAAGACAAATTCAAGAAAGTAGCTAAGAAAGCTTATAATAAATATTATAAGAAGATTGTTGAAAGAATTGAAGAAGCTACTTCTGAAGGTGTTAACAACGTTGACATTAAGATGGTTTGTAGATCTGCTATCGATGGATTAATTAGAAAACTTGAACACCAATATTTGACTGTTGTCAGATCAAGAAATGAAGCTAAGAAAGAAGCTAAAAAAGTCCTTAAAAAACCATTAAGAAAATCTATGAAGACTCTTAGTAAGAAGTTCAAGAATACAATGACTACAAAGACTAATAAACAAACAAAAAAAGAAGCTAGTAAAGTTGCCAACAAAATTGTTTCTAAGAAATAATTAATTTCTTATTTTGAGTAAAAAAATTCAATTGTATTTTCTTCAATTTAGGAGGGGATAGTGTATTTTTTTTGTATCACAATAATTCATGTATTGCATTAATGATATTTTTCCATCTTTATTCTGATCTATTTCTTTAAACACTTTTAGAATTTGATTAACATTAACTTGGTATTTAATTGCTGAAGAAAGAAAATCGTAAAATGAAATAATTCCATCATGATCTTCATCTATTTCATTAAAAGTATCTTTTAATTGAGATTCCATTTAAATTCTTTCTGAAAATAATTACTGAAAAGTAAAAGTCTTTTCCTTTAAAAAAAGAGAATAAGACAACCTTAATTACTTTTTAGAGAATAGACTTATAAATATATGTTAGATATGAACCAAATAAATTCAGTTATTTTCTTTCAAAAAAATCATTTTATGTATTTTTTTCAATTAAATTTCAAATTATTTTTTTAATTAAGTATTTGTGAAATAAGTATAAAAAAAATTCTATTCTTTAAACAAAACAAAAGATTTAAGACATTTATTTAAAACCATTTCTTGTCAATTTTTTTATTTAAACAATTTAAAATAATTCTTTTTTTGTTAAACAAATTCGTTATGAAAAAATAATATCATTAAATCATTGAAATTTGCTATAACACTAATTTCTAATATTAGATTATTAATACGTTATAAAATCAAATATTAAATAAAACTTAGTATTATTATGGTTTGACAATTTCTAGATATTTCTTTATGTTTTAATTCTTCTCTTCTTTATTTTATAATTAAAAACTTATAATCTACTTAATTTTAACTTATTTTAATTTTTCTTTTATTCTTTTTTTTTATTTTGATGGTTATATTATTCATTCTTATTATTCCTTTAATTTAATTTTATAAAAATCATCTATTAAAGTATTTAAAAGATCTTAAAATAAAAGAAACATTTTATTTTCTATTATTTCTTTTAGAATTAATTGAAACAAAAGTTTTTTTTTTGGTTTTTATTTTTTTATTTTTGAATATGTTTTTTTTAACAATATTTACAACACCACTGAATTGTTTTACTTCTATGCATAACATATGAACGCTTAAATGTTAATTAACTAAATAATAATGAGAAAAAAAGAGTAAAACAATAAAGAAAACAAAAGATAATTAAAATAACAATTTAAAATATATAGTCTTAGCTAAGATTATGATAGTTCAGAAATATAAAAGAAACAAAAAAATTAGAAAAGGAGAAATTTCAAAAACCCTTCTTATTGAAGAAAAGAACTTCAAATAAATGAAAAAAGTGAATAACAAATAAATAGTAAAAAATTAATATAAAGAAGGAAAGAAAAATGAAAAGAAAAAGACGCAGTCATCAAAAAATACGAAACGACACGAATTCACACATATGAAAAGGTATAAAAAGATCAAGATAAAAAACTTATATTTAATGGGATTTACTAAAAAGAGTCTTGATCAAATTGATGTTAAAGACAAAAGAGTCTTTATGAGAGTTGATTTTAATGTTCCAATGGAAAAAGGAAAAATTACTAACACTAAAAGAATTGATGCTACTATTCCATCAATTCAATATTGCCTTGATCACGGATGTAAAGCTGTTGTTCTTGCCTCACATCTTGGAAGACCAGATGGACATGTTGTTCCAGAACTTACTCTTAAACCAGTTGCTGAAAAATTAGAAGAAATTCTTAAACATAAAGTTATTTTCTTAAATGACTGTGTTGGTGAAGAAGTTATTAAGGCTTGTGCTAACCCAGCTCCAGGAAGTGTTATCTTATTAGAAAATGTTAGATTCCATCCAGAAGAAGAAGGATCATCAATTGTTGATGGAAAGAAAGTCAAAGCTGACCCAGAAAAGGTTAAAGAATTCAGAGAACAATTAACTAAACTTGGTGATGTTTATGTTAATGATGCATTTGGAACAGTTCACAGAGCACACTCTACTATGGTTGGTGTTAATTTAAGCCCAAAGGTATCAGGATTCCTTGTCAAGAAAGAACTTGGATACTTTGCTAAAGCATTCGATCATATCAACAGACCATATCTTGGAATCCTTGGAGGAGCTAAGGTTGCTGATAAAATCCCAATTATTAACAACTTCCTTGAAAAGGTTGATCAACTTATTATTTGTGGTGGTATGGCTTATACCTTCCTTGCTGCTTCAAAGAATATGAAGATTGGTAAATCACTCTTTGATGCTTCAAAGGTTGAAATGTGTAAAGAACTTCTTGCTAAGGCTGAAGCTAAGAAAGTTGAAATTCTTCTTCCATTTGATTTCGTTGCTTGTGATAAATTTGGAGAAGATGCTAACACTCAAATTTGTACTCTTGAAGAAGGTATCCCAGAAGGATGGGAAGGTGTTGATTGTGGACCCAAGACTTCTGCTTTATGGAGAGAAAAAATTCTTGCTGCTAAAACAATTATGTGGAACGGACCATGTGGTGTCTTTGAAATTGATAAATTCTCAGCTGGAACTAAAGCTCTTTGTGAAGCTGTTGCTGCTGCTACCCAAGCTGGTGTTTTGACTATTGTTGGTGGTGGAGATACTCCAACAGCTCTTAAGAAATTCGGTCTTGACAAACAAGTCAGCCATATCTCAACTGGAGGAGGAGCATCACTTGAACTTTTACAAGGACTTCCACTTCCAGGTGTTGCTAACCTTGATGATGCTGAATAAAGAGAATTAATTCAATTTATTCTTCACAAATTTTATTTATTAAAAATTAAAATAGAAATAAGTGGTTTTATTAAGTTTTATAATTTCAAATTTAAATATTTTTCTCAATGGGTTTTTTTATATATGTATTTTATATATTTGACTCACTAGCCAATGAACTATTTATTTTAGAGTTATTTATGTCTAAAAGGATTAGTATATCTTCTCCATTTTCAGGTAATAGTTCACCTACTTATCTTCGGCAATCATTTTTTAGTGTTAAGTCATTATCATCACATACATTACATGAACATTGGGGTGTTATTTGGGGGTCATTTGAAACAATCATAAGACAAGTAACATCAAAAGACCTTCTTTCAGAAATAAATTGGAAGATTCCTAGAAGGTTCAATATGAAAAAGGGAAATGAAATGAGTTATGTTTTTTTGTTGGATATTATCTCATATCCTGAGATGAATAGTAAACAACTTATAATGGAATATGTTGAAAATACTCAAGTTATTCATGACTTTCATAGTCGAGTAAAAAACTATGGTATGAATCAATATTATAAATCAATTCCTTTAAAAACTTCAATTCATATTGACCGACCAACTGAAATTAGAATTCAAACAACACATATTCCAACATATTATTATTATGAATTTGGTAAACGAATAAAAAATGGAGAAGAAGTTGATATAATAATATTTACATTACATATTCCTTTTATGGTAAAATCACCAACAGAATATCCAGTAATTATATTTAATATAGGAATTGATTTACCAAAAGACATTATTAATCATAAAATGTTCCATGACTCACTTTATGATTATATAAATCGTATATTTTATTATTATCAATTAGCAAATTTTACTCTTAATAATAAAGATTCAAGTGAATATTTAATTGAAGAATTATATGTATTAATTGATAAAATAGATGAATTTATTCATGTATTTAATAATAAACAACAATTCATTAATATATCAACTCATACAAAAAATACTTCAAAAGAATATACAAGATATTTATGTTCTATAATTTCTGGTTATATTCAAAGTTATTACACTATTTGTATTCCTTTTTCAACAGATACTATTACTGATATTAGAATTTTATTAGATCCATTTGCTTTACCTGCAATTCAAGACTTTCATTCTAATAAAATGACTATTAACATAAACCCATTTTTTACTCTTCAATTTGTAACTAAATTTGATCCATCACAATATTTTCAATTTCCATTTCCAATTTGTTTAATTGACTCATCTCAGTTTATTGTTCAATCAATGAAAGACATTGATACAATTTCTTATTATAAGTCAAGGTCTTCATATTTTCTTAATATTATTAATAAAAGATTAAAGGTAAATACTAATGTAAATCCAATCAACCCAATTTCATTTTTAGCTCCAATTGATCATTGTTTTTTAATAGAAGACTTTATTAGACAATTTGTTAAAGTAATTAGTCAAAACCAATTAAATACTGCTGTATATTTATTACAACAAACATCAAATTTTATGATTATGAGAGGAATGAAATTATTTTATTTTATTATTAACAGTTCTTTTCCTTTTGGAAAAAAGTTAATTGAACAAATTCAAAATTGTTTTGATTTAGACAAAGAGGATATTCAATTACTCATTCAGTTATTTAAATTTGATCAACCTTATATTGTCTCAAAGATTCAATTATCAGTTAATTCAATTCTTCAACAAGATTCACAAATAACTCGTAACTTTTTTTAAATAATAATTGATGTGTATTGTTTATTCAAATTTAAATTATTTATCATTAAATTCAAATCAGAAAAAAGAAAAACACAAAAGATCTATAAAATTTCTAATTAGTTTTTGAATAATTTAAATTAAAATGGAAGATGTTAATGAAGTCTTATTAGAAGAAACTATTCCTATTCTTTGTGGTGTACCATATGATCCAAGTATTCCAATTAACTCTTCTGTATATCAAATAGTACCAGATATTGAAGAAAAAATAAGAAATTATATAAACCCAAAAAGCTTATATCAAACATTACAATTATTAATAACAGAAAATCCATTAAATATATCAAAATTATCTAAATCATTTTCTTCTGAACTTGTTAAAAAAATTAAAACAAGTAATGGAAATGAATTATCTGTTATTTTAGGTTTATTAGAACAATTACTTAAAATTAGATTAACTACTAAAGATTTCACTGATTTATTTCATTTATATATTACATCTAATAATTGTAATGTTGAAATTCTTTCATTACTTAATTCTTTGGCTCGATTTGGTGGTCCTGAAAGATATTATGCATTTCCTGGATTTCTTACTTGTTTATATAAAACTATAACTATTGGAACTACTGATAATTGGGGAATTTCTTTAACATTTAGATCAAGAGGAAATGGTGTTATATTATCAATTCAATCTCCTTCTATTGGAATTACCATTACTATAAAAGAAGGATTTCTTTATATTGAATGTGGAATTAATACACCATCTTTAATAACAACTCCAAATAAAAATGATTTACAATTAAATAATAGACGTGTTGTTAATGGAAAATGGTATAATTTAATAATAACGCATTCTAAAAGAGAACAACGTCTTGTTGTTGAAATTGAAAAAGAAAATTTTACATTTTCTTTAAATTATCCAAAAAATGAAGAAGCAATTATATCTATTGGTGGAATATCAAGTAATTCTAAAAGTTATTTTACTGGTGATATAACTGATGTAATAATACTTCCAGAAGAAACAATTATTCGATATGATCAAAAAGAATTAACTAAAGATATGTTACTTTTTGAATGTTATAAAATATCAAATTTTACACCAATTGTTACAATTATACGTGAAACACCAGGTGCTATTATTAATAGGATTGGTGGGATTAGTAAATTATTTATTTTATTAAATCAAAAATATAATACAAGAGCATTAGAAGATTGTGAAAAAATACTTGATCTTTATTTTAGATTGTTATCTACTTTTAAATTGTTGAGACAAGAGTCTATTGAAAATAATGAAATATCTACTATATTTCAAACATTAATTAATTTGGCAGAAATAACAAAAGAACAAACTTTTAATGAAACAAAAAAATTACAAACTCCAATTGTTAAAGAATTTATTTCTTTTGCATTAAGACTTATTAATTCTCATTCTTTTCTTTCTATTAGAAATATTATACTTAGACATATTTTTGATATTAGATGGTGGCCAAATGATTCACTTAGAGTAGAATATATTAAAGAATTACAAGAGTCGATGAGCCACACTGTTTTAGGAACATTACCATTCAAATTATTTGAAAAATTATCATATAGGAGTTTAATGTTATGGATTTTATATGATGATATTCCAGAATTTGAAAAAGAAACTATTCCAAGAGCTCATCTTCAATGGAGATGTGGATATATTCAATATATTACTTCAATTATAATTAAAGATGTTTATGTTGTTCAATATTTTATGACTGATTCATTACATCTTCTTGACACTGCAATTCAAACAAATGATTTTAATACAGAAGCTTTATTAATTTATATGTATGTTTGTATGGTATTAACTTCTCAAGGAGAATTAAAGTCTTTTATATCAACTATGTTAAAAAAGAATAAAACTGCATTACTTTATCTTTATATTCAACAAAATCCATCATTTTTAAAAGGTAATATTGAAAGGCTTTTAGCATTAATTAATATAGAAGTTAAATATAATGTTATTGTAGATGCAATGAATTCAACACGTTTAACACCATTATTATATCAAATAGCTATTGAATGTTCATTTAATAATATTAGAAATACATATATTGATACTACTACAACTGGATATTTATCTTCTAAAGGATTTCTTCTTAATATGAATCAAATGAAATTAAAACAAGATTTTCTTACACCATTTCTTAAATCAATAAGTATTGCAATATCAAATAATTTATCAAATAACATGGTTGTGTTAGATATTATATTAAATGATCTTGTTCAATGTTTAGAAAATCATATTATTTGGAAATATTTATTAAAAAGTAAATATTGGATAACCATATTTATTGATATAGCTGTATCATTGGTATCTTCAAAAGAATACAACATTTTACAAAGATTACAAAATATCTTTGCAAGAATAATTGGAATTGCATTTCAACAACAGAATGTATCATTAGAAAATATTATTTGTTATTTATTATCAAAACTACAAAACAAAGAAAAGTTTTATATTATATTCAGAAGTCTTTTAAAATGTTTAGTTAAAAATGTTCTTTGTCAATTAAATAATGATTCAAGAGATAAAATGGTTATTCAAATGATATTACTATTTAGTGATTTCTTTTGTAGAACATGTAGTTATGGTTGTGATACGGCATTACCTCATTTCGAAGAAGATTATGAATTAATAACAAAATGTTTAGAATATCATTATCCACAACCAAAATTATGTAATTCTAAAGTAGCATCAATGCAACATGTTTTTATTGTTCATTTAATATTATGTCAACTTCATTCAATTGCTTTAAAGAATAATAATATTCCTTTGTTAAGAAAAACGTTACAACTAATTCCTCCATATCTTGTTCAAAGACCACAAATTGAAGGATATGATAGTTGGGTTATTTTCCATCTTTATGATATTGTTAAACAATGTGATGATCCAAGTGTAAGAAGGGATATATCAAATATGATGTATTTATTAAACTTTAAACAACAACCTCACATGGAATTGGATTTTAAAGGAATTCAATTATTTGGAAAGGAATTAGTTTCTTTCTATAAAACTCATGAAAATGGATTAAAAGTTCAAGCTGATGTATTGAAAGTTGAAGAAAATAAACTAAGAAATAATCCTTCATTTGTTTTTAAAGAAGTGCAATACCCTAATCTTGACGTTGCACCCATGGATTATAACAGATTAGTTATGAGTGACACTGATATTAGACTTAGGTTATTCACTTCTAGTAGAAGAAATTGGTCAAATGCTTTTAAATCAAATATTCTCATTGATACTGTAAATTCCAATACT